CTGCATCTATCCATTTTTAACCAGAGTCTAAACATGTCCTTACATTCAAAAAAATGGCATCTTTCTGGCATACTGTTGAAAACATGCCAACAAAGCTAAAATTTAGATGAAGCCAAAATTATTGAAGCAATGAAGAGCATTTCCACACATCTTTGGACCAGTTAGTGCAGCAGGACTTGAAATAATAATTAGCAATAATTTAAAGTGGCACCAAATTTAAAGTGAAGCAGTCACCAAGTCCTCCTATGTTTGTGAAAGATGCCATGGCATTTTATCTAGTTAACTGTGCTTCTTAATGCAGATCTGTAAATATCAGCAAAGTCAGACGTCATAGCTGGAGCACAATCTATCCTATCTGAACTGTATATGATGTACTTACCAAAATATGCAGGTGCTGGCTGGTAATGCTGTGGATACGACTGCGCAGGTATATAATTATATGCTTTGAACAGGGAGAATAAAATCCAAATTAACATGAATACAACAAATTGGCTTTGTCCCGTAAATCTTTTTTGTGATTTATCAAAAACAAAAGAAGAAGCACTTACTCATTTTTTCAGCCTGCTGTCTTTGCTCTGTGAGAAAAAACAGACAGATAACAGTTTCAAACTGGAGCTCCAGCTTCTGCTGGTATACTTCACTAAAGAGGAATAATATGTGGAAAATGTAAACTCAGTCACCAGTTCTCTTTATGAATGAGCTGCAGCCATGCTTTGCTTTAGTGGTAAAGCTTGACTGCAGCCATTTCAAAGTCACACTTGCCAAACACACACACACACACACACCCCTCCGATTCATCAGTCAATATAGTTTTTGTCTCTTTAAGAAAAGCCAGTCCAGTGTTTTACATTTTTAAACTGTTTTCTCCAGGTACCTTCAGTCAGCTTGTCAGCAATAAGAGGGCTGCTTGTTGAGTCTTCGGTTTCGGGCTTGGTAACAACCATGGATGTGAGAGGGGTGACAAAGCTGTACTGCAGGGACATATCCAGGGCCTTGGCTGTTGTGTTGGCTTTCTCATCTGGTGTACCGCTCTTGCTGCCAGAAGGAAAATAAATGTATTACTACAGGGAAATCTATAAAAGAACATCAAATGATTAAAATGAGCGTCCTGGTAAAAGAACAAGTGTCATCAAAGACTATATATCATCCCATATTTATTATGAGAACAATGTGCCTTAGCAGCCGAACTGAACTGATTTAAACTGACCTCTTGTCCAGTAACTGCTGGATAGTGAGGTAGGCCCACAACCGCTCGGTAAAATCTCCAAAGATGTACTCCTCGTCTGGGTAAAAAACATCCCAGTCTGCGGCACGCACTTGACCCTGGACTCTGAAGTCTTCTTCAAGCTACAGGAGAAACAAAAGATCAAATCCATATAAACCAGAGTAAAACAAATAAATATAGGCTATGTCTACTCAATGTCTCAATTTTTCTGCCATTTCTTGTGTTTTTCTTTTTTTCCTCACCCCCTGTCCAATCACTTCCACCAGGAAGTTGTCAAGGTCGTTGTCCATTAAATGACCAGCCACAACAATCTCTGTGCCATTAAACAAGTGGCTAAAGTGGCTGGTGGTCAGAGAATCCACTGCATTGTCAGGATAGTGCATGTCCACCTCTAAAAGTAGAGGGCTGGCCACTTCGTCGTAGAAACCCTGAAATAAATACACACACTTTATCACATTTGCATGTTCAGATTTTCTATCGTAAACTCAGCATGAAATAGTGACGGCATATAATTCATAGGAATATGGCATAACTGCAGTGCTTTAAATGAAAATCTAAGAAATTATGACAATGTTTTTCTGGCTCCTGAAATCAAACCCACAGAAGAGGGCCCTGAAAACTGAAGGGTTTGCCTCCCACTCTTCTTTTAAATAACCTGGGAACCACAAGTAAGAGAGCGAAGTGCTCTGTTAAGGTGCTACATTACTTTGTTTTGGTGGTCTTTAAGAGAAGGTGGGACCTGAGTATTTAACACCTTGTATATGAAGATTGAATTTGATTTGGGATATAACAGGGAGCCAATAAAGAAAAGCCAGTATGGAAGAAATACATACTGGCTGAAGTAATTAGTGTGTGTTATCTGGCTTCACTGATAGATAAACCTGGGAATCATCTGCATAGAAATGAAAATGTATGCTATGCCTTCTTGTTTTTTTACTGCCTAAGGGAACCATGTATAATATAAACAGAAATGGTCCGAGCACATAACCCTGCGGAACTCCATAACTAATCTTTGTGAAGAGGATTCCCCATTTACATGA